CCCCCCCCCCCCCCCCCCTGTGTTTAGTAGGGTCCTAGGTCCCCCTGGGCGTGTCTACGCTATACGTGTGTAGCACCTGTTCTTGTACATACATTAGTCTGTAGCTCTTCAGTCCGCTTTCGACATAATTCATTTGGCTCAAGACTTAGCAGCCCAATACTGCATTCACTGCCATAGAAAAGGTGTGCTTCGTCGCAGCTCGCACACCGACCGCACTTGTTTGACTGCTTGGTGTTTCGATCAGGTCCAGTTATTCCAACTGCCACTTCTGGGGGAACTTACCCCTCAAAGTGGTAGCGGAGCTTGTGTCTCCTGCTTCGCATTGGTCGATTTTGCCTTCGCGCCGAATCGTCCGATATTCCGGACAGGGGACAACCAAGTAAGTCACTTGTCAAACAAATAGACCATGGTCCAGATCTTTAACATAGATACGGACGAAGAGCATGACAGCGACCTATCTGACGTAACAGATCCAGAAGAAGCTCTTGCAGCTCAAGGTTCGCGTCGTCGCCAACAGCATGGAAGGTCCTCGAGTTCGACATACCGGACGTACGAGGCACAGCCGTCAGCAGGTGTCAAGATGACGCCAAAGATTCCTCCGTCATTCGATGGACAGTCATCCTGGTTCGAGTTTGAAGATTTGATTGATGACTGGGTGAACATCACCACATTAAGCGCCGAAAAATTAGGCCCATCATTGAAGAACGCTCTAACCGGAAACGCCGAATACTCCAAGAAAATGCTCGACAATGAACAGCTTCGTCATGAAAGAAACGGTATTACTTTGTCAAAGGAGCAAATCATGTTTTTCTTTGGCGTTTCATGCAGCTCTTCAGGACCTGGCGCGGAAACGGGGAATTTGTAAGCTGGATCGCTCGTTTTGAAGTCGCTAGCAAGAAGGTCATGGAAGCCTTCATGGGCTTGTTAGATCTTTCGACTGTTCCACAGCCTGATGATTTCAACTTTACTGATATCCTCTTGCAACAGCAGTACATGCTACTTCAAGGGCTTCAAGATCCCGCAGAAAGAAGAGAGAACGCAGAAAGAATCCGTTCTGAACACATTGATGCTTTGAAACATGCACATCGTGACACCTTTCCATTGTCTGACAACCTGATGTCACTTATTTTCTTAGTTCAGTCGGATCTTAACGAACAGCAAAGAGAAAGGTTTGTAGCCAGCATGGCCTTGCGTCAGATCAACATGAACAACTACACATACTTAGGTGTCAAAGGCTTATTCCTTGATCTCTTTTGCGGAACCGCCACAGGAACTGCCGATCCTTCGATCCGCAGGCAAAGAAGATCCACTTTCCTTGTCCTCGATGAAGGAGACTTGGAAGAAGAATCCGGATACTGGGTGATGGATCAAGAAACAGGCGAAGAAGGATTTGTGAGTTTGTTCTCAGAATCCGAATTTTGGGTGTTAGCAGCCAAAGGAGGATACACCCGTAGAAGAATCCATGGAAGAAAATTCAGAAAACCATCAAAAGGCGGCAAAGGAAAAGGCCGCGGAAAAGGCAGAAGACCCGGCTTTGTCAGCCGTAGAGGCAAAGGTGCAGGGGCACATTATGCAGAATACCCTGACAACTCAGGTTTCTATGGAAAAGGCAAGAAAGGAAAGAAAGGTGGAAAGAAAGGATTCAAGGGAAAAGATGCATTTAAAGGCAAAGGAAAAAGCAAGCAACAGAATCCCTTTCAACAATCCAATGTTGCAACCACCGAAGAGCCCTCATCAGCTCAACCATCCACTCATGCCGAAGAAACCTGGAGTGCACATGAAGCAAATTGGTCATGGGACTCATACGGATATCACACAGACCAGTACTATCCTGAAGATGTCTGGCAGGCAAATGAAGCCACTTGGCAACAATGGACATACTTTGCGGACGGACAGACGGACAGACCGCAAGATGAAGAGCACCAGAGCTCAGATCAAGAGCCTGACCAGATGAACCAGTCAGCAGATTTCCGGTATTACGGAACACATGCAGAAGAGATGACTGGTGTAGAACATGTTTCACAGCCGTATCACCTAAACCCTGCCGGTAGCAGTACAGACTACCGACATTCCGGTTGTTCTGAAGTGATTGATCCACGCTTCTGTTCTTCTTTTGTCAACTTTGACGATGGATTTCACCATGCTTTGCTTTCTGAATACATCGACTTGAGGTACAGCCCGACCTACGTGATCATTGACAGCGGCTGTACCAGAGCAATGGGCTCAAGGACCGCCATCATGCGTCTAGTGAAGGCATGTAAGAGACACTACAATGCGTCTAAGATCGATATCTCTTTTGAGCCTTCATCAAGTCGATTCTCATTTGCAAACGGTGAACAATCCAATGTCCGAGAGAAGCTGGTAATTTACTTTCAGAACGACCAGTCACCCACAGGGTGGATCACAACAGCGATAGATATCTTAGACCAAGGCGACGTTCCGATCCTTTTCAGCGTTGAGCAGCTCAGGAACCTTCGCATGTCTATTGAGCATACTCCAGTCGGTGACTATCTGACTTGTCCTTTGTTCGGTCTGAAGCGATTTTCGCTGCCAGTGAGCACTTCGAATCATAATGTCCTAGACATCATGATGTTTGCCAGCTCAGTTCGTAAGCCGAACCGCAGTTTTACTGCAATCAATCCTTCGTATGGAGCCTGTCCTGCCTGCAGCGGAAAGCATCGCAAGCACACATACAAAGATGGATGCAAGAAGGCAGAGACATCCGAAGTGAAGGAAGACAAGTCAGCAGCCGACATTCCGGCTAAGAAGCCAGATAAGCACATTGCAAGTGGAGATGCCAAGGTCGATCCGCCATCGAAGCTCATTTCGATGCCTCCACCGGCTAAGAAGGTGACACCTCCGACATACCGGAAGACAGAGAAGTCACCTGATTTTGGTACACCATTTGAGCATTCGAAGATTCCAAGTTCAAGCTCAGGAGCCGAGAAGCCTGACGTACCTCCAGCAAAACCTGACATGCCGGTGAAGCCTGATCCTCAGGAAGAATCCAAGGAAGACGTGAAACCAATACCAACAACAGTGCATCGAGAGAAGAAGGCTCCTAAGGTTTCAGTAACCTTGCCGTTAGCATTGCAGAGAATCCATGAAAAGCTATCTCATCCAACTGAACTCTTGAAACTGCATTTGAAGCACTACCACATGTCAACTGAGCAGTTCAAGAAACGCACATCAGCTTTGAAGATTCCTGCTAAGATCTATGAAGAGTATGAAAAGGTAGTAAAGCAGTGTGACACATGTCAGAAGTCAAAGATTGCACCTTCAAGATCAAGAATTTCAGGTATGAGAAGTGAAACGTTTGGAGAACTCACCTTTGTTGATCATGGTGAACTTGCTGTCAACGACAAGTCCAAACTTCTTTTCCTGATCATCTATGACGGTGCTACTTCTATGACCACTGCTTATGTGTGTAACGGCAAGACTGAAGCAGAAACGATTGGCCATCTTTTGGAGTGTTTTGAGACATAGCCAGTTGAATCCTAAGTATCTTGTCGGTGATCAAGGTTTCATGGGTACTGAACTTGAGGCCTTTTACAACAGAAAGAATATCCGACCGATCACTTTAGGACCTGGTACTCCATGGCCAAACAGAGCAGAAGCAGCTGTTCGCACGCCCTGATGCTTAAGGCCGTAACTGAGGATCCATCCAGATGCGAGATCACGTACCGTCAACTCCTCAGACAAGCATCACTTGCCAGGAACTCCATGGTCACTTTTGGTGGAGTATCTCTATTGGAGATGGCATTTGGATGGCGACCTGCAGATCTTTTGTACCCAGAGAACATGACACCAGAACAGCTTACAGCTTCACTTCCTTCTCCAGAGAAAAATATAGATGCCCTCAGAACACTTGCCATGAAGTCCTATCTAGAAGCAAAACAATCAGACGATTTGAGAAGAGATATTTCTGCAAGACTTCAGTTGAGTGATGGTCCATTTTACCCTGGTGATAAGATATATTATTGGACAGAAGATAAATCCAAGGTAAAGTCTGATGGAACCCACAGTGGTAAATGGATCAAGGGCAAGGTCATAAGTTCTGACGGCAGTACGGTTGGTATCGATTTAGGCACCAGAATTTTGAAGGTCAACATCAGCAAGGTCCGTAAGGACATCAATCCGATCGAAGATGTTGAGGTGCCACTCGACCCGGTTGCACTTCTGAGTTCTGAGAGTGCACGGACCGATATTCCGGTCACTGACCACGCAAGCTCTCTAGTCCAGAGCGACGGAGCCCAGATCGGTGTGGAAGGCTTCACATATTCCTCTTATGCATGGCAACCTGTCATGACTGGCAAGATTGATTTCTTAGAACTGTTCGCAGGTTCAGCACGGTTGAGCCAAGTTGCTGCTATGAATGGTTTGCGTGTTGGACAACCTATTGACCTGAGAACTGGATTTGACATCTTGACCAGCGACGGTCGTAAGAGGACGATGGACATCGTCGAGAAACAGAAGCCTAGAGTCATCTTTATGGCGCCGCACTGTGCTCCTTGGAGTCAGATGACCATATCCATGATCGCGCAGCACGAGATCAGCGCAGACAGAAGTTTCTTCCAATGTTGGAATTTTGTTGTCGTGTTGCCATATTTCAGATTGAACACGGAGGCCAATTCATCATTGAGAATCCTGCCTCATCAGCTCTTTGGTACACCAGATGTTTTCAAC